AGTAAAACAGCAATGGCAAATAATGAAGCAAAACTTCTTGAAGAGTAACAAGAACTAAAATTGGGAAGAAACAGTAACTCGCCGAAGGAAAAAAAAACCGGTGTTGAGTTCACCGAGGTCAGATGAATGGCAGCAGCGGAGAAGATTAGCAAGAGCCTCGCTGGAGGAAGATAAACAGTGGTGATAGCAGAGCTTGAAAGCTTGAAACAATGGAGGATTTAAGAAAGCTAGAGAAAGAGAGAGCTTCAAAAACGATGTAAAGTGAAGAGACGAAGAGAAGGGATATTGATTTTGTCAAAAACGCGAAAAGGCGGAAAAAAGGAATTGATAAGCCTAGAAAGACGGATTTGTCAGACGGTGCATGCAGGTGCGAGACGACTTACAAGCGCGTACGGAGTACGATCCAGTAAAGGAAAGACACATCGCTGAAACGGTTGAGTTATTTTGCATGACAGCTCATACGCGTGAAGGAGATCTTTGAATTTTTAATCCTTAAAAAGACATGTCGGCCTATATGATGATCTCGACTAAGAAACTTTAAGCCGATGTATTGACAGGAAGTGCCGATATAGGTTCCATCACCTCAGAAATGCCGAGGTAATAGAACCTAGGGAGCAGTTGTGGAGATATATTTTCTAAGTGCCAACACGTGGCCAAGGTGACGCCGACGTGTCAGCCGAGGTGCCACGTGTCCTGGTTATGACGCCGAGATGATCTCGGCTAGGCCGAGGTTATCTCCGAAGATATCGGAATCCGAGATAAGCGGATAAGGGACAAGAGTCCTAGAATGGGAAAGGAACTCAGCTTGGATAAGGATAAAAGTTCTTAGGAGTTTATCTTTATCTATAAGAGAATCCGGGATAAGCACTGAGCTAAAGTCCATTAGAGCAAAGTTTCTATTGGGACAATGATTGAGTTAGCTATAAAAGAGAGGCACCCCCGATGGGTCTAAGGTACGCAATTTATACTCAGAACAGTGAGTTTAGCAATTGATTGTCTTTGAGAGATATACTGACTTGATCGTCGGAGTGTCCCCGGGTGGACGAACCACCGCCGGAATCTTCTGTTTCTGTTGCAGGTCAGCCAGGTGTCATCTATTCTGCCAGTATTCTCCAACTGAATACTATGTTGGCAGTGTGATCGGAAATTCACTCACACAACTTTATTTTTCATTAAATTTAAATTTATCGTTCGGCCAGACATCCTCCTGGATGTCCTCTTGGATGTCCACTAAGAGTGATTTTGACAATTTTTTTGTTCATGTTCAGACGAATTCTAAAATATTCGTCCAAACGTCCTCCCGAACAATTGAAAATGTGAAAAAATCTGATAAAAATTTTAATTTTAACATTAGTGTAAATATCAAAAATTTATTTAAATTTGATAAAATTTTTGATTTACCCTTAAAGATGGTCTATTGAAATCTGTAGGCTTTTAGAGAAACGTTTCTAGCGGGTGTATGCATGTATGTGTGCTGCATTGCCACGTTTGCGTCGCTCCAAATTTCCAGATTGGTAGATTAGGAGGGGAAAAAAACGTTGTAGCTAACCAGATTACAGGTCTAATTGGGATAATTATTGTGTAATTTTGAAGTATTAAGCTGCACTATTTACATATATAATGTCCTCAATCAATAACTGAATATAAAATTTTACGTGTTTCCATTTATGTTTAAAAAACTTATCTATTGTGGTTTATAGGTATTCGTTTGTTAAAAACATCTCGTATTGGTGTAACTTGTTAGCGCAGTTGCTGCATACAAAACTCCCTCCTTAGCCTTGGTTTAGAGAGTGGGCTGACATTTTAGTTTTTTTAATTTTTTGATTATTTTAGCTTAAATTAAAAAGTCTCAGTTGAGATGAACTTTTTGATTTTTTTAACTTTTGTAAAAGAAAAATTAATTGATTTTGATTTGGATATGACAATTTATTTTATTAATCTTTTAGTTTAAATTGTCTTTTTATGATTAAAATAGTCTCAATCTCACATGCCAAACATAGCCTTAATATACTTATTGACTTGAAGTACCAAAATTTGAAAAAAAAATAAAAATAAAATAAAAAATAAAAAAATCTATAATTTATAGAGGTTCATGTTGAATCTTGTGAGAACTAAAAATTTATGGTTAGGGCCCGTTAATCTATATATACATAGCAGTGTTTGGAAAGTCAAATTTGGATTTTTTTTTGGTTAAAATTTACAAAAAGATAAAATAGGTAAAATAATTAATAAGATAAAATATCATATCAAATCCATAATTATTCTACTATTTCTCTTACACATCACATCTAAGTATAAAAAAATTCAATTCTCTTCTCAATAAACACAAAAATTTTAGCCTACTAAAATAGCCAAAAACTAAAATAACCCACTAAAATAATCAATTTCTCAAACGAGGCCATATCTATTGTGAGAGTAAATTACATTTTGTACTCTTGAACTTTTCATCAAATCTCACTTTGACTCTTACACACGAAATCGTGATAGTCAACCCCCTGTACTTCTGGTCACATCTCACTTTAATCTCTACACATGAAATCGTGACAGTCAACTTTTTACACTTTTGGTCAAAACTCATTTTAGTCCCTATACAAGTTTCAATGTACCTCTTCTGCTACTCTATTATTTAAATCTTTAATAGAATACAATCATAAGACAAGAATGTGACTATGAAAGGAGAATAAGAAAGAAAAATCATTTCTATTTCCCACCAATATACGTTTTGTCTCAAAATTTACATCAAATTATGACTGTATTAAGCTAAAACAAAGCACATATTATGAATGATTAAGAAGATGAATTAGGATTTTGCATCAATTGAAATCACGTAATTTTATTTTTCAAAGTAACACACTTATTTGTCTATTCTTTACAACAGAAAAGTGTAAGGGTAACTCTTTGATTTCTCTACTGCCTTATTTAATTGCAAAAGCCCTTTTTTTTTTTTTTACCTCTTCATTTCAATTTTCAACATACGAACATATGTATATTGTATATATAACTCTCACGTGCTTATTACGTAGAACAAAATATGTGTTGGTGGAAAACAGGGATGATATTCCTCCCATACCCTTATTTTGTAATCACATTCATGTTACATAACATGATTTTATTCAAGATTTAAACAATGGAGTAATAGAAGAAAGATATTGATACTTGTGTAGAAATCAAAATAGGATTTGACCAAAAATACATGTCTAGGGACCAAAGTATGATTTAACCACAAGTGTAAGAGGTTAACTGCTATGATTTTATGTGTAGAGGCCAAAGTCAAATTCGGTGCAAAATACAGGAGTGTAAAGTGTAATTTATCCATATTCTGATGAACACCAACCTCTCACCCACTTGTAATAAAAAAAATACTAAAAAAATAAAAAACAAAACAAAACAAAAAAATTGAATAAAGATTTGAGTGTAATAATGATTCCATGTAATCATCATAATATGATCAATTAATAATTAAATTATACATGAAATAATGAAGCTCACCAATTGTTTAAATATAATTTAACATAAAGTCTGAGATCTTAGATTAATGTCCAAAAATAGCCCAGAACAATGATACATAAATTAATAGAGATTATTTGAATATTTTGTAGAGTCGATATATAAAATAAATTTGAATCACATATTAGAATTTTTAATAAAATTAAGGATAACATTTTGGAGTTATTAGTAGTTATTAATAATTTAATAGCTGTACATATAGGCAGAGACTGAAGTGCCATTATCTATGGGGCAATGGGACACTTTTAGTATTCAACAGCACAAAGAAATTCCTTAATTTGCAGGGTTGCATCATCTTTGCTATGATAATGTGACTTGACAGTAACTGTGATGTATGCAAATGGGGTGATTACTTTGAAAATGGAGAAACTTCACAGGACGTTTCAATCTCCATTAGCTTCTCTTTAATTGTTGGGAGCTGATACGATAAATCACAGATGTAAACAGTGATATGTGTAGATATATCACTGACTCATGTCATGCCACTGTTCCAGGTGCAAGATGTGTTGGACTTGGCCCAAAGTTTGATTCACTCCAACTTTGGCATTCAAAGAAGAAAACGATATTTATGAACCGAAGTAAAAAAATAAATTGAGCAAGCATTGTCAAAATCAAAGACAACCGCTAATGAAATACTTTATTACATTATAAATAAGTTGTAAATACTTTATTGAACCATCTCGAGCCTGTTCTAGCCAACTTAGTATCGGTTTTATTTTAGTTATTTTAAGCTTGACTCTAATTTTTTATTTAAATTCAAACCCGACCCAATATTTATGGATTATAACTTCTTGTTACATATAACTAATAAATGAATGTGACCATTTTACAATTTGGATCATTACAAAATTTAATTATAAAAACAGGATGGGCCTACATGTTAAAACTGGATCTACACATATTAGTCTATTGTATAAATAAATAATATAAAATAAAATTTTAACATTTTATAAATTAGTGGGCTGATCTAAAATTTCTCAAGCCGAACCCAAAAAATAAATGACATTAAAGTCACAACTTAGCACTGCCCTCGGAAAAGGGTATTTCTAAGATGTTGGATTGGGCTGAACTGGCCTCTGGGCCTGTAGCCACCCTCTTGGAGGGCTTGTTCTCAAATAGGGCCTTTTCATTTGGATTTTGGACTAATATATTAAGGGAGGCATTTGCTTTATGAGATTAAAGTGTGTCTTCTCGTTTGAATACAAAAGTGAAGGTTGAAATAATATTCCAAAAATAGTCTAGAAACTATTTATCTCATGATGAATAGTTTGCCCTTATCCAATCAGTCAATTCTAAGGTGATCATGAACCCCACTTGGCATTCCTCTTCTCCAATAGGCTCCAAGAAAAGAAAAAAAAAATTAAAAAATCCACACGTTGATACACATATAACAATTTCTAAAACAAAAATCCACACTTTAATTTTATTTGCTTTTCTGTTTTTTCCTATGAACTTGATAAAAATTACAGATTTATCTCCAACAAATATTGCATTCAAGCAACTATTTCGTCTTTCAAGCAAGCTCTGAGCTTGATCACCGTAGCATTCATGTCACTCACTCTTAAAACATCACAACATTCTCTTCTACTTCCAACCTGAAAAACAAAAAACAAACAAAAAAAAAAAATGTAGTGGATATAAGAACTCTAATATGAAATTATAGATTCAAATTCTTAAAGAAAAATATACATCTTTTTGGAATAGGGTTGATTTCACGTGTTTTAAAAAAAAAATGTTTATATCAAACATATTTTCTATAATTAAAAATGATAAAGTGTAAAAAAATTACCAAAATGCGACCTTAAATAGTAATTGAAGTGTGTTTGGAAGTGTGACTGACATGCCTACATTGAATCAAATACGGACACAAAAAATATATCCATAAATTGAATATGTGTAGTCGACCCAATGAATGTGAATTCCAACTACAACTTATTTTTTATATATATTTTTGTATATAAATTTTGTGCACATATCTTTTGTGTTGTATTTGGTTGGAGAATTTGAAAGGAAATTTAAAAATAGAAAGAAAAAATATGTGTAAAACTAGGTATATTTTATTCACATTTCACTTACTTTTTTCTTTTCTTTTTAAATTCCTGCCTAAATCTTTCAACCAAGCACAATATTAGTGAAAAAGAGAGAAAATTACTCACACCATCAAGTTTTCCGATCGGCGAAACAACATGAATTTTGGAGATGTGATCCGCAGAGTGATTCCCACTCTCCGAACAAGCCGGTAACTGGCGCTGCCATCTCCGAGCATATCTCGTAACCACTCGTCCTCCGATCGGCTCTTCCATTGAATCAAAGAAAAAAACATGAGGTGCTTCACAAGGATGCTTCGATGGAAGCCGAGTGTTGAAAACGAATGGTGGCATTGCACCCTTTTTCCAAGGAAGAAATGTCAAACAACTTTGCTCCTCTCCCTCTGTATGAACATAACGTGGAGACATGGAGGTGCAGAGGGACAAGGAGCATATATGACAGACCTGCGTCTGAATGGCAGGCGGAGGGGTCGTCCTCTTCCCATGAGAGATGTCCGCTAATGAGACAAACAAAACAGACCTGCACCCGAGTGTCAGGCGGAGTGGTCGTCCTCCTCCAATAGGAGACGACCACGAATAAGACACGTTGGACAGATGGCGGAGAGAGAAGGACTTGAACGACAAACAACCTTCTCCTATAAAAGGTGAACACTATTCACTCTGAAGGGATCCGAAAAATACACACACTTAACACATATACACCCATTCTCTCTTCTTCTTCTTCTTCTTCTTCTTCCTAAGTCCCTGACTTTACCATCGGAGGGGTTTCCGACCAAACCCCGGTCGGGCAGCCTCACCGTTTGTAAAAACATGAGGTGCTTCACAAGGATGCTTCGATGGAAGCCGAGTGTTGAAAACGAATGGTGGCATTGCACCCTTTTTCCAAGGAAGAAATGTCTCGATCGGCCTCTGAAGAATGCTTGGCGGAAAAATTGATTCGTAAATATGAGCAGAGTAGCCCCAGGATATGGAGAATGTCCAGTTGGTTGGCTTGTGGTAGCAGTTGGTTTGTTGGAGTAGGCGAGGCTCGTCGGCTTGGGCGGCTTTCATGAGATGGTTGAGGGAGTCGTGGCGGTTGAGGGAGGGGAAGATGGGGTTGGCTGTGTCGAGGTGGTGGAGGGAGAGGATGGGAGATTGCGGGTGGGATGAGAGAAATCCTGATATGTCACCGCGGAGATCAATCTTACAATCGCAAACGTTAAATGAAATGTAATTAGTTTGTTGAAGAATAAAGACACATACAAAATTGATTAATAAAGATTGGGGAAGGAGTCTTGACTTACAATAGGTCATATTATAATAATTTAATTTGTTTATTTTGTATGTCGAATCATAGACATCATCCATAGATTGAAAATAATTTTTAAAACACAAATAGATATCGATATGATATAAGACATGACAAGTAAGCCTACTATATTAATTTTGATGTCACTTTAATCTCATCAAACTTGATTGTCCAAATTTTTTGAATAATTGTTTATAAGACTACAAATGTACAATTTATATAATAAATGTATTCTATAATAATTATGAGTGAGTTTGAGTTTGAAACACTCTTTCTAATTTTGACGCACATTATAATTAGCTTTAAAAATAATTTCATAAAATAACTTAAATTATAATTTCAAGTCCTATAAATCACGTACTCATGTACTCTCTCAGGCGCCCGGGGGGGAGGGGGGTGGTGTGGAATATGATAAAAACATTGTCTAGTTTCAAATCAAAACGATCCCAATTGTATGAAATTCTTGGCCTTAAGATTTGTGTAACATAAATACCTGATGAAAGCCCTTTTCAAGAGTTAGAGAGACTCCCAAATCAGCAACACATGACTGCAATACATGCCCACTTCCATACCCATATTCATATCTTCTGATACACAAATCCAAATTCTCAGCCAATGCCTCAACAAGAGGATAACTCAAAGCATACCCACCTCCCCCAAACCCCATTCCAAATCCACCTTCCCAATTCGCCACAATACACTCCGAATTCATACCAACATAGTAATACTTCCTATGATCATACTTCCCAAGCACCTCCACCAAATTATTCACAAAAAAAACAGTGTCATCCTCCGCCATGACATACCACCTCACACCTCTCTTCTCAGCCCGAAACGCCTCCACCACCGCCCTCGCCATTCGAACGCCATTCTCGTGGCCTTCGGAGACTTTAAAGGGAGGATCGACAGCTGAAGGCCACGGGAGGTGCTCGGTTGGAGGCCTGTCGAGGAAGAGAAAGCCACAAGTGATGTTTGGTCGCCACCATGATTCGACGTAGTGTTTCTTGTCGTTCCATGTGTTTGATGAAGCTGAGATTCCGAAAACGAGGTGGGTGATATTGGTGGGAAAGCAGGGATCGGTGAAGAGGGTGGAGGATTGGCAGCATGGATGGTTGGAGGTGACGATGTAGATTATTATGTAAAGCAATAGGGCCGAAAGAACAAATAATTTGTAAAATCTGCACCTGAGCTTTTGGTGGATTGCAGTGGAGCTTGAAGGAGCCATAGATGACATAGTGAAGATTGCTTGGAGGTTGGACTAACTAGGGGAATGAAAACATCATAGGAAATGAAATGGTGCATATACAAGAAGTTGACATAAAATTCTCACCAATGAGAGAGTGAATAATTTAACTCAGATAATGGGACACAGATCTATGTTGTAAAATTATCCTCTCTATTCTATCCATTCTATATTTATAATTAAGAGATTCCATTCCATCATTTAGGCCTTGTTTGGGATGCTATCTTTTTAGCCAATTAGTCAAAAAGTTACTAAAGAAGCGAATTAGCCAATTAGTCATACCAAAAAGTCAACAATTACGGCTTCTCTCTACTTTTTGCACAGTTTTTCGTAATTAGTCAAAAAGTCATCCCAAACATACAAGTTTTTTTTTACCTACCTTTTTAGCCAATTAACTAAAAAGTTACTAAATTAGCCTGTTCCCAAACGAGACCTTAATGGTGAGTATAATGATTATCATTTTTTAATTTAAATTAATTATAAATTTAATTCTCATATCATAGCAATCAGATGTACAATGGAAACAATGGCGGCCCAACCCTTTTGGGGTCTAAGACAAAATTTTAAAGTGAGGCTTTCTATGATATTTTGCATATTTTATTTCTTACTCTTTGTAATGAAAAATTACTAATTAAACTTTTGTTATCAATTTTTTTAAATGTATCTCATCCAATTTATAAATTAGCTGATCCACTTAATTATTTAAGTGACATAGTCAATATTAGATGTGATTTTATTAATTTTAATTTTGAAAAAGCAATTAATACAGATGTTAATAATATTTTGTAGTCAATGCATGTATCGGAAAGGATTAATGATTGAGGTCTCAAATTTTTTGACTCGAATTTTCTTTTTCTTTTTTTCTTTTTTTTTTTTTTTTTTTTTTTGGGTTTTTTTTTTGATGCTTTGCTTGTTATTATTATTATTTTTTTTATTTATTTTTTTCTGCAATGTATTAGCCCAAAAAAAAAAAATAGCATTCGAGGCAATTTCGAGCCTCATTTTCGAGGCCTCAATCACAGCCGATCAGAAAGATAAAATTTAATAAGTCAATTGATGTATTTTCCTTTTCTTAATTTGGAAAATAAATCAATATCTTTAAAATTCTTACATTTCAGTAATTTTCAAAAAAAAAATATTCTTGTTTGTTTGAACTTTTTGAAATTAAATTAAAAAAAAAAAACCAAAAATAACTTTAGATTTTATTTTATTTTTTTGAATTATTGAAATCTACTCTCAAAATGGTTTAGTATAGAAAGGATTTTTTTTTTTTTTGATGTTTTGATTTCCACAATCTTTGTACTAGTTGAAGAAAAGTTTGACTAAATCAATGCTGTTTTTTGGTTTTGGTAAATTACAAATACACCTTTTTGAGATTTACTTAAACTACGAATTGTTCCTGTGGTTTGAAAAATTATAAATATTTTCTTGTCAGAATTTTTTATTTTACAAAATTAATTAAAAAAGTGAAATTTTTATCTATTCACCTATAGAACAATAAAATTATCTGAATTATTAATTGAAATAAATATTTAATATTATTAAAAATTGTTAATTAACTTTATAATTTATTAATAAAAGAACTTATTTGTTATGAAATTAAAAACCTTAGGGGATATAATGTAATTTTTAAAATTACAAAAATAATTTATAATTTAAATAAACCTTATGACTGTGTTTATAATTTACTCATATTTTTTATTTTTTATATATAGATATATTCTTTCCTTCTTCGGATAGTGACGAGAACAATTTTTATGGTTTCAAGAAAATAATAATAGAATTGGAAAATCTTTTTAACTACTTTAAGTTACACGCAAATTTTTGTTTGTTGCATTGAACACATAATAAATGTACAAATGTATTTGAATGTCATACTCATTTGTCTCCCGAAATTTTTCTGAATTTGAAAAAAATACTTTAAAAAAGTCTAAGAATTTGAAATTTATCAATATGACAAAATTTTACGTCTACATAGCAAATTTCACATTACAATACTTTTTTTTTTTAAGGTACATAACATTTATGTTATTATAAGTAGGTTTCATTTTTGAGTTGATTAATCATTCAGGTCATGTGTTAAGGCATAAAAAAAGCTGCAAATCAGGTGATCAAGCAAATGAAACTCCCAATGTGTTGTGTTTGTTCATGTGATGTGTTATTGCTTTTTATTGACCCAACGCTATCTCACGTAGCAAAGTCGGAAAATTGCGTTTTACATGCCTTCTTTGATCGGTTTTATTTACGGCCATAAAAATATAATGAATAATGATATATAAATTTATTTTTTAGACTTGTCTTTTAAATTTAATAATATATAAGTAATATGATTAGTTAATAATTAAAAAAGATACGAGAGAGTGTGTTACTTTAAATATTCTAATTGATTGCTACATCATTGGATTTGAAAATTAGGTATAATTTTTAGACTGCATGCAATTCGTGTAAACAGAAGTGGTTTGGGATGATCTAAATAAGTGTACTTTTTTACTTTTTATCAAATATGAATTGGGTTTAAAGTGATGCGGTAGAGAGGTGATGTGACTTAAATAGGAATGTGACTTTTTAATTTTTTGACTTTTTTAAGTTATGACAAACAATATGACTATTTTTATGGGTAAATTGTGCCAATAGTCCCTATAGTTTGTCTTGGGTGTCATTTTGATCTTTATTTTAAGATACATAACATTTATGTTATTATAAGTAGGTTTCATTTTTGAGTTGATTAATCATTCAGGTCATGTGTTAAGGCATAAAAAAAGCTGCAAATCAGGTGATCAAGCAAATGAAACTCTCAATGTGTTGTGTTTGTTCATGTGATGTGTTATTGCTTTTTATTGACCCAACGCTATCTCACGTAGCAAAGTCGGAAAATTGCGTTTTACATGCCTTCTTTGATCGGTTTTATTTACGGCCATAAAAATATAATGAATAATTATATATAAATTTATTTTTTAGACTTATTTTTTAGATTTAATAATCTATAAGTAATATGATTGGTTAATAATTAAAGAAAATACGAGAGAGTGTGTTACTTTAAATATTCTAATTGATTGCTACATCATTGGATTTGAAAATTAGGTATAATTTTTTGACTGCATGCAATTGGTGTAAATAGAAGTGGTTTGGAATGATCTAAATAAGTGTATTTTTTGACTTTTTATGAAATATGAGTTGGGTTTAAAGTGATGCGGTAGAGAGGTGATGTGACTTAAATAGGAATATGAATTTTTAATTTTTTGACTTTTTTAAGTTATGACAAATAATTTTTACAACAATGATTCATCCCCCCTTTTTCCCCCACCCCTTTGACCCCCTCTCTCTCTCATTGGTTACTTTTTCTTTTTCTTTTTCTTTTTTTTCCTGCTCCTCCAATCACCACCCGCCACGTGGCAAAGGGGGGGTGAGGGGTGACCCCCAAAAGGAGGTCCCAAGCATTATTCTAATTTTTATGGGTAAATTGTGTCAATAGTCCCTATAGTTTGTATTGGGTGTCATTTTGATCTTTATTTTTTTAATTTGCTTGATTTTGATCTTAAATTTTAAATTTTATTTCATTTTGACCTAATAAATAATAGTGTTACAAATTTTGACAAAAAATTGAGCACTTGACTCACTCCCCTTATTTTTTTATCCTTATTTTTTTAATTTGCTGATTTTAATCTTAAATTTTAAATTTTATTTCATTTTGATGTAATAAATAACAGTGTTACAAATTTTGACAAAGTATTGGGCACGTGACTCACTCCCCTTATTTTAGGGGCAAAATAGTAATTTTATTAATATTATCTAAATACAACTCAATGAGTTAAGTTAACTCAGTGAGTTGACCCATTATAATTTTAATAAAAAAAATCTTTTCATTTGGAGAGAGAGAGATACAGAAAATAATGTGGTGGACTGGTGGGATTGATTATACTGGATGTTGGAGGAAGATGGAGGGAGACGAAGTGGGTCAAGATTGGAGGAAGGAAAAGGAAGGCAACGTAGGTTTCAGAGAGGGGAGAGGAACGACAGTTCCACGGCAAGGTTGGAAGACAATCAAATGGGAAAAGGGGGAAGCAGACATCGGACCGGGGTTGGCAAAGGTAGGCGTTGAGGATTTCAGAGAGGGAGCAAGAGTGGAGATTTGATAAGCGATTTGTAAAATATATATATATATATATATAATTATGTAAAATATACGTATATTTTATTCATATTTCATTTATATTTCTCCTTTTCTTTTATAAATTCCTTCACAAATTTTCCGACCAACACAGCGCAAGGGAGCTGAGCTGAGAGAGGGGAAAACAGGGGATGAGTCGTTCAGAACCGCCACAATGAGGACCTTTTTTTAATCTTTATTCTTGAATTTCTTCTCCAATTCTTCTAATTTTGATTTTAATTTTACTTTTGGTTTTGATTTTGATGTTGATTGTTCTTTGTTGTATGTTGAGGGTGATGTTGTTGGGGGGTGTGTGTTGGTTTTATTTGGTTGTTATGGGTTTTTAGTGTCTGTTCGTTACCTCGATTTCTTTGCTTCTATTTCTTCTATCTGCGTGCTTTTCCTTCATGCGATATGGTAAAATTTTCCTCGGATTTAAAGGAGTTGTGGTTTGGTGGTGGATTTATCTTGCCTGTGTGAGATAGTGAGAATGAAGTGGAAGTGGAAGTGGAAGGGAGTTGAATTGTCCATTTTGTTCTTAAAAAACAGTCGCATGTTGTGCACCCTATTTGTTTGTCAAAAATGTAATAATTGTTATTTATTGAATTAAAATGAAATAAATTTTAAATTTGAGACTTAAAATCAAACAAATTAAAAATACAGAGACTAAAGTGGCACAGGTGGCAAACTAAAGGATTACCGTCATAATTTACTCTATTTTTATTCTTAAATTAAGAATTAACAGGTACAACTTTGAGCTCTTTGACAAATTTTTTTTTTTTTTTTAAATTGTGCATTTTTTAAGACATAATTGCTGCTGAAAAAAAATTGACAA